GATGTAAATGTTCACCATTATTAATACAGTACATTGTCAAATTCATTAATGCCATGACATATTTTTGGCCTTTATAAAATATGGAAATTATGGACTTATAACTGTATAGTGTGATTGTACCAGTAATTAATAGTTATATGGGTGTGCAAATGAATACGTTGATATAATCAGTGGTTATGAATAACAATGAAGGCTTAGTTGACGATCGGACGTAATTCATACGTACGCTTAGTTCTGGTTTCAGGTACTATTAAAATAAAACTGGAATATGAAATTCTTGCATTTTGTATTCATGAAACGGTTAATATTCTCATTTCTTTTAACACTTTTTATATGACCTTTTAATCGGATTACTAATTTCAATGATGACGGCTTCAACTTGTTTTATAATGTCAGTATCTTATTCATAAGGAAGATATTTTTCTCAATTTTGTTTACTTCTCTATGAGCATTAATCACATTCATCTTTGTAACTATCTTATTATATTCACTAATAAATTTATTCACCTAACGACAAAATAACGATTTTCACTATTTTAAAATATTCCTATTAAAATGTACTAGTAATAGATAGTTTACAAATATGTTACTAAGACATGAACGGTAATCACATTATTTTACTTCTAAAATTATTAGATAAGTGTTCATAAAATGACTAAATCTTGTCTGCTTTCTTAACCTTTATATGTATTATACATTGGAAACAAGTTTACGAATACATGAGCGATAATCGCTTATCGATTATTAATATCTAAGGTATATCGAAATGCATTCGACATTAAAAAGTGCTTAATCACTTGACCTTTGCCATAGACAAAAACAATATTGGGAAAAATGCCTTTAAATAAATTTGTGGGTGGCCCTGAAAAGGGCCTTTAATCGTTCTCGCGGTGGGACGTCCAAACTATTAGTTGGTAATGGCGCCACACATCGGACAGTGTACTGCTCGTACGTTCGGTGATGGGTCATAAGCACAGAATCTATGAAACATGGCTTCACAAGGACAGAAAACCCAACCCACTTCATCACCAGTTTCATAGGGCGGCTGTGCAAGATTACAGATGTCACACAAACGGTTCTCTTCATTTTCTTCATTTTGGATGTCCCGTTCTGTTAACTCTTCTGAGTTTATAGAAACTACGTCATCCTCGTCATTACTTAACGTTTCATCCAAATCGACATTTCTTCGATGGATCAACGGCGTTGTAAAGTTAGTCGACATGCTTGTTCCACTGTACAACTGCGGTTCAGCCTGTAAGTTCAACGGCGTTGGTGGTAGTCTACCGTGAAGTTCTTGATAAAACTGGCTATAGAGTGAACTGCATTGTTCCTCAGACAGTCGCCTGATTAACGCAATCACTGTATTCTTCATGCTCGGCTGGCTCAATTGCATTGGGAAATAATTCTCAACTGCAATACGAGTCAGATAGGTATCAGAGTGTAACCACCTATCACAAATTGACTGTAAGTTCACATCAGTCATACTGTGTGTACAGTAAGCCAATATGTGCCGACATGGCAAACCGTTTTCAATGGAAAATGTACAGGAGCAGCGCATGGAATCACGGTGTACATTGTAAGTCCCTGTTGCGTCCACAGCCGTGAATAAGTCAGCAGACATTACAAACTCCGTCAAAGGAGTGCGCAGATGCCGCTTCAGTACTTGACATGCAGCTGGTGTCAGTCGTTCCTGAAGTCTACGCATTGCTGGCTCTTGGCCGATGTTGGCTTTGACCCGGCAATCTGATGTATATTTCTGTAATCTGGCTTCCATCCAATATCCAACGCGAAGTAGCACACTAAATATAGATCTCAGCACTGGTGTTTTTCTACTCAGTTGATGCATCTTCAAAATTCGGTGACTTGTCTCAACAAAGTTCGTATTATTGAGTTGAAGTAGCGTTGCTGATGGTCGAAAAGCTGTAGACCATTTGTGTTTTCTCGCTAATAAGTGGTCTCTGACATATCGCGCAAACGTTCCGTCCGATATTTCGATCAAGGATAATACAGTGTTAAAACTACAAAATATTGTTATGTTGCTTTTGATTTACCTTTCAACCGTTTGAGTAAACATCAGGCGAAAAAATAGTTGTATCACTTCTGATCGTACCCTCTACAATTACGGTTACTGGGTTAATGTTAATGAACGGAACACTTACCCTCTTTATAACATTGCGAACAAGGTGGACGCGACACAAGATATGGTGAGCATTGGGATACACCTGCATGATGGCAGCAGCTATTGCAGGTGAATCATCTGTCACAATGCCTACCATCTGTCGACTGTTGGTTAACCGTTGGAAGAACGACAGGAATCGAGAAATCAAAGTCGATGTTTCGCGACTTATAAATGTAATACAAACGGGTATTGCCTTCAAATTCATATCAAGGGCTACGACCTGATATAAATAGATATTCTCGTTATTCGTCTTGTATGTTCCGTCCAAACCAATAACATCACCGAAACGGTCTGCGAAAATCTTTTGATCACCGGTGCTGAAGAAAAAGTACGATAGACGGTTCTCATCGTCTAATTCGTATTCGCATCGCCCACCCAAAGATGTTATGTGCGCTTTCAATTTCCCGTAATCACCTATCGTTTACATTATAAATTGGCAAATGGCTTACCAGGAATGTTCGCCTGTGAGAACACTTTGTACCGCATATTATAGATATCTTGATCAGTAAGTAGTTTCCCATAAGAATGGTAAGCATAATTCTTAATGTGGAATGAAGCAGTACCAGATATTAGCAGCGGTCGCACATTTTCAAACTCGGCCTCTGTTAACCTGCGCACCCATGAATTTCCTTGGTACCTTAGGGAATTGCACTCGTGATTGTGATGCACATTCCCACGTACAACAGTCCAGTAGCCGTCGATAATCTTACAATACATGAAGGCCGGACATTCAGTGTTCATGGAAGCCCTTCATGACAAAAAATGTTAATAACATTTATAAAATTACCTCCTCCGTCTAATCCGCTGTGACGAATCGCTAGATGTTATACGGCCATGTCTCCAGCACACAAATTTAATGTACGAGTTTTCATTTCTGCACAAATGCGAATCTCGAACTACATAATGACAGTAAGTTGATCTTTCATAATTTGCGATAGCGGACTTCAACGCTTCAATCGATGGGAACGCAACGAGAAACAACGTTGTCAAAAAGACTTCCTCTATTTCTGTTACGTGAGAAACAACAGCGCTTGTACTAGGCAAGTTACTGTCCTCCATAATGATGATTAAAATGTACTTCGTCGACAAGTACTGATGTTTTATAGCAATCCGACAAAACATAACTAACAAATTAAAAACGAACTTCAAAACTAGCCATTTCATTGGACGAAACGGGATGAAAAATATTGCAATTTTGGGTTGAAAAAACATTTTTAAAAAGGGTGGGTGGGGGTTTTTTTAAAAAAATTGCCGTGGGGCAAATGAATTTCATCTTATTATATTCACCAAATCCATTGTTATTGTTATTATTCATATTACGTAATCTAATATATATATATATATATATATAATTGTTTTACAGTTTCTAAAAATTGTTTTAATATTATCGCTGGTATTAATTTTATCTTTAAAGAAACCTATTTTAACTGATATGACGCCGTATGATCTCAACTTTGTTGATGAAGTTGAATGTCTTCTAAGAGCAATATGTGATCCTGCTTATCGGTCATTGGTTGTTGAGACAATGATGGTCATCGCAGTTATATTACAAAGAAACACTGAATTATCATTTGATGAGGTAGTCGATATTAAACTCATTATTATGGATGCAATAAACGCTTTTAAGCGTGATCGTTATACTAACATGTAAGTTATTCTTCATTACTTTGTTTAAATGTTTTATTCAATGTGCAATTCTTAATACTTTTAAAAGTTAATCCTAAGTGATTACAGAGGAAAAAGTGTTATTTAACAAATAGTTCAATAGTAAAATGTAACAGTGAATCATGGTTTAAAATATTTAATTTGCTTATCTTAAGGAATATTTATTTTTCATTGTTTCTATGACACGTCAATTGTTTTACTAGTAATATATTTACTATACATCATGTAACTTGAAATATCTTGCTTTTCTATGCTAACATCTATTCGAACTAAGTTTTTTTCAGACTGGAATGTGTAATGTTGAAATTACTTGAATTTCATTGTCTGAAACTATTTCGAATACAATTTTTGCATATAATGCGCAAGTTAATGTTTCGTATGCAATATAAATTTTGACTTGAATACTACACTTACCTTTAATAATACAGATGTTGAGGGAAAGCTGTAGTTAGAATGTTGATAATTTTATCTTTAGTCTGTCTGTGTATTTCAGACAGTATTAGAACACGGGGAATCGTACGACACTTGATAGATAATGGTGTTGTTTTATCAATCACTAACTTGCAATAAAGTGGTTACAATGAAATTATTCAGTCCTTCTTATGTGAATTCTAATTTTCAACCTTAACATTTAGTTAGCATTGTAAAACAATATAAATGCTAAGAATATACAGCACTAATCATACTGTCAAGCGTACATTTAAGTTGAGGGTACTTTCCAAATAATCAAATGCGAATTAAACTACGACACAGTAAAAATCAGCATGGAGCAGATAGTTGTATCGATTGGGGACTATTAACAATCTATGGAACACAAGCTAAGAAAAATCAAACAAGTTTTTTAAAGCAAAAAAAAACATCAAAGGTTAGTTTGACCAAGGAAAACTATATTTTTAAATGACCATGAAATAGTGTTACAAGCAAAGAACCGAACTAAAATATCGACTTATGAGTATAAGTATAACAGAAACAATGCGCTATTGAATATACGTCATAAAAATTGTTTGGCACACTCAGACTACTGTATTGTCATAAAGTAGTGTAAATGACATAGACAAAACGACAAGGGGATAAGAAATGATTTCCAAAATAATTTAACATCCATTATGGCAATGAAACCTTAGCAACGTGTTCAGCATACCTATATAATCTTTATATTTGTACTTCTTCAAGTACTTAATTAGTTGTATGGATATGCAAGTCAATGACTTGTGGAAATCTACAGGCACTCCGCTAAAATATTTACGATATTTGTATTGGTCAAATCATCCCATACAATTTATTTGTGAATTTTTTTTAATCTTTCAGTTATTATGCGATGTTTGGCAATTTTTCTTTGATAATCCATAACTTCGATATTAATTTCCCTTTTCTTTTCTATAAACAGAACAATTTATTTTTTATATTAGCTCCGTCATTTATATATGTATATTATATACTTCTATTTATGTTCAGTGATTCCTAAAATTAACTTTCTATCTTTCTTTTTACAATAATCTGTCTTATAATTTTTAGGTTAAAATATTAATTTACATGATTAAATTATTTAACAGAAAGACTTAAGCGAGTGTTAAGTATGATGATGCACATGGGCTTCAGTATCCTGAGGGAACAAATGGCGTATGGACCAATCATTGGTCACCGGCTACCATGGGAATGCATCTCCTTACGATGTTCCACTGCCTTGTGGATCAGACCTTTAGGTCGAAGGCTCTGGATGTGGCCCCCTAAGAAAACCACCTGCTTCGGTTTGGGCACCCAAGCAGTATCACAGCCCTCACACAAATTTAGTGAGATGACAGACATTTCACAAAATACTATGCTCACTTCGATTTCTTGCCTACAAATGAAAACCGATTTATGAAAACAACAAAGAGAAGAATAATCTCTGTCTATGAAGAGAATAATAATAGTTTTATAAGTTATTTTATTACTTCTTCTAACTATCAGTTAGGTTTATTTTACCAAATGGGGTTGTTTTAGTATTTTTCTGTTTTTTTTTTTGAGTTAGCAAAATTACTCTTATTCATTTACAAATTACGTAGAACCTAGCATAAAATCTGATCTGCTGAAATCTCCAAATCATTTCAACACAATGAAATGTAATTGACAAGATGCTCAGAGAAGGAATTCAAGTAAATATAATGTGTGTGTGATTGAAAGGAGGGCAAAACACAAAGAATATGGTTTACATTTATCTTCATGGATTGGAGGAACAGTTTATTTAATGGTAGATACGGACGGGTCTTTGACTGATTGATTTCTTGTCTAATTCTATTAGGTAGAAAATGATTATTTCTAAAATTAACCATTCTTCACTAAATTCGAGGGTTTTTTAAATTTAATTTTGGAAATTATAAGAAATATGAAGCAGCATTGTGTGGCTTTAAATTCGTGATAAGCAAACACTGTCCACAGCTCCATAATTTTTATTCTATTGTATAATCCGATCCATACTGTGAAATGGATAACATTGGTTACTCCGTTGGTATATTTCTCTTCTACAAAACTTCCTCACTTCAAATAATCTCACTATAACATTTTTGACTGAGACGCAATGAAATGAGTTTTGATCTTGTAGAGAGTAATATTTCCCTCGTAAAATTACAGATACGTTTTCTTGATGAGTGTCAGTTAATTCGACATCGTCAGTCAAAAACGCAAAAACATTATTTTGTGTTTATTCACTATCATATTGTTATGGCTAGTCTCCAATTGTTATCTTTAATCGTCGCTGGTTATTATGTCGGAATCGCTTACTACTTATCCTAATAAAATGAGAAACCACTGCAATTCCCACGACACAAACTAAGAACACCAAGACTTGTACAATTGAAGATTTATTAACCCCAAAATACATTCATTATGTATTGATTGCACACCCATTTCGATTAGTAATTAAAATAAAACCACATATATGAAAAATACTCAAAGTTGTTACAAGTCACATGCTGCAAATCATACTGAGCATAGTTCATGTTAATTTAATACAAGGAATATTGTATCTTGAACAAACACATCACACTCAATTTAATTAATGTTTTAGTGAATAAAAGATCACACTGGTAAACAAAACAAATACTACACTGAATAATCACAATATTGAAATTTGCAAAAAAAACGGAAGTAATGTTAAGCGGAAATCGCAATGAGTAAAAGTATATAATTTTGCTTTCTAATCCCATTATATCATATATATTTTTTCTTCTGTACAATTTGAATATTTCTTGTCTTTATTAATTCACCTGGATTGCACACATGTGTTTGTTTGTTGTTTTATATAGTTAACGGTTTTAATCATGGATTGTTTATCGTTTTTATGCACAGCAGAAGAAATAGAGTTGTACGCTGTCAAATTCTAAAATAAACATGTAAAATATCCTTACTTTTATGCGGTACCTGTTAACGGTTTCTGTGAGAATCGACTGTTTTGAGCAGATAGCGTTTCAATAAATTGGTTCGTATTGCTAATTCCCTGTAATATTGCTGTCTGTTAAGCATCAATAGATTATAGTTTTTTGATTTATTACCTTTCATTTTTAAAATACCATTTTCTCTCTCAGTTGTGCAGTTCATTTCTATTTTTCTAACATTTTATTTAGGTCTACTGATAACGTCCTTCCCCATTTAGAGAGACGTTTGTCATGGTCTGAACCAGATATGCTGTCTTCCTTGGAACTACCCATTTATCTAGAATTTGCATCAACTCCGGCTAATGCCACCATGGGAACTACTTCTTATATCGCGAAGTCCGTGCTTGATAGACTATTAAAGGGACATATTGATCTTACTAGCGTTACTAAAGATGCTTGTTGTGCAATGTGATTTATTGTATGAATTCTAAGAGGAAACTAATTTGTGGTATGATTATAGCATTTTACTTCATGTAAGTCATCATAGATCTCCCCTCAGCAGGCATTTGTAAAACATCCTTTTAGTATTTAAACAACCTTATAGTGTGACCGTTATTAGCGTTATTATTTTCATTTTTTCTGCTTATTCCTCTCCTCAGTTACTAACATGTTTTATAGTAATACCTCACGAATTGTCATGATTTCACCTATAAATTACATTTCACCGGATGATATTTTTTGTTGAATCAGGGGTATCATTGGTGGAACTGTCTTTACGAAGTTTGAAAGACTATTGTTACTGTTATCACTTGACAGAAATCACGTGATTATGACTAGCGTTCGACTGATTTGGCAGTCAGTTGCGTAGTGTTTGAATGGGCAGATTTATATTCTAGTTAGCGAATTTGTTCTGCACAGGATTTCATGTTTAGTGTCTTTACAAGCGATAAAATGGAGACTTTGAACTCAAGTGTTTACTTGTTGACACTTATTAACAAAACGTATTTTTTGTTGTGAAATAAATAATGTTGATTCTGAAATTATGAGTTATATCATTTTAATTCACCAATGAGGGCTTGGTAGTTGAATCACCTATCACCTATAGTTTTGGAGACGTGGATCCTATTTCGGTTTGGGAAACCAGATAATTCTCTTAGACAAAACTTTACGCTTGAAATTGAGTATATTAACTGGCACTCGATCACTGCGTTGCACTCATTAGTGATGTCAATGGTTAGTAATAATTCACTGACAGCTAAATTATATTGTGTTTCTGTCATAACTTGTAACCGCCTATTAGAGAGCAGTGAATTATCGATCGGACCAAGGACGCGTAAAACACGTGCGAGCAGCCTAGAGTTCTGACTGGTCCTGCTTTCCGCCTAGCCCAGCCAGTTAAGTCCAGAACGCCAATCTCGGCATCCGCAGTATGAATCATTATATTTCAAACATACTGAGTTTATATACCAATCAAACAGACCACAACGTACCAATAAAATATGAAACAACTTTTGTACAAGAATTAGCCAGATGTGGCTGTGAATGAGGGAGGCAGTGACTAATAGACAGGGAATAATTCAAGAATGGAAAATCGTATAATAACAGTTTATAGGTTAAAATAAAGCCTATTGATAAGAGAGACATGAATATGAATAGTTTAGTTAATTAACAATTATACGGTAAAAATATACGTATAGTATTGGTCTACAAATGGATCCCGAAAATTAGCACTCTTCATTCCTATCGGGGCATAACAGTTTCTTATTGGCTAGTGTTACGACGGACTACACTGCAAAGTGGTGCGTGGAGGACAGCTGACAGACACATCCCAAGTGAGGACCGGAGTCAGATAAGGCTGCTTACTCCCCTTTATCTTCTGGTGGTTGACTGGATTATGAAGGCCTCTACATCCGATGGTAAGCACGGAATACAATAGCAGCTTGGATGCAACTGGATAATGTGTATTTTTCAGATGACTTAGCTCTTATATCTCATACACACCAACAAATGTAGATGAAGACAATTAGAGTAGCAGAAACCTCTGCATCAGCAGGCCTCAATATACACAAAGGAAAAAGCAAGATCCTCAAATACAACACGAAAAACACCATCTCAATCATACTTCATGAAGGAACTCTGGAAAATGTGGAAACGTTTTTGTATCTGGACATCATCATCGATGAACAAGGATAATCTGAAGCAGATGGGTAGGCAAGGATAGCATTCGTATATTTGAAGAACATATGGAACTCAAAACAAGTGTCAGCCAATATCAAAGTCAGAATCTTCAATACTAAAGTTGAGACCGTTCTAATGTACGGAGATGAAACTTGGAAAACTACTACAACCATCATCAGATGGTACAAGTGTTTATAAACCATTGTCTGCACTAGATGCCGAATGTTCGTTGGCGGGTTACCATCATCAACAACCTGCTGTGATAAAGAACAAACCAGATTCGAGCTGAAGAAGAAATTAGGAAACAACACTGGGGGATAGAAGATACATTGTGAAAATCACCACACTGCATCACAAGACAAGCGCTAACTTGAAATCTTGAGGAGAGAAGAAGATCAAAGAACGCCGCACTGAGTGTTGATAACAAACATAAAAAGAATGCGTAGCAACTGTAAAGGATTTCCCATGATAGAGTTCGATGGAGGACCCTAGTGTGCGGCCTATGTTCTTTCACGAGAGGTAACAGGTGTAAATAGGCAATGCGTTTTTCAAATACCGTTTCGATCGATCTAGACGTTTTTTCACTGATGGTGTTTTTTTGGTATGTGCAACTGATATCGACAGACATAAGTATTGAGTATCACCGATCGAAAGTGAAAAGCCTGGCGGCAGAATTTTAAGAGGATTGAAGAAAAGAGAACGAGAACAGAGTGATTGGTGTGAAAACGAAAGAACAATGAAGTCTGAGACATTTGATTGATATTTTGCAAATGAAATATTCACTGTATGGTCTCCATATTTTACTAAGAGATTGTGTAAGTTTGTATCTAAATACATTTGGTTGTCCCCGCCTGTGTTCTCGTTCACTACAGTTTCTCTATCAAAGTTTCACAGTTAGGAAGAATTCGAACACGGATTTAACGAATTTCTAAGAATAAGCAAGGCATAAACATATTGAATGCAGATAATATGTATTCATTGGAACTTCTTGCGGAGTAAATGAAATCATAGTTAACACTGAAGATCGTAGTTCACTGCTTAAAATGGACATTTCGCTTGATAAGATGGGCAAAAGTGTAGGCCTTTCTATAAGGCCTTACAAATGTTTACCTTTGTGTAGTCAAGTAGATCTAAATATTCTACTTATCAATCAATACCTCCAGTTGCTTCGCGTGACGGATATATGTAAGTACTTGCTAATTGTTCGTCAACTTTTGGTGTCCTGAAAGATTCATGGTATCCAGTCTATGAAGTAGATTATCTGCTAAACAAAAGGGGGACATAGCTCCTACACTTCAATAAAGTTACTCGTTAAATATCGTGGTTGTCTATGTGAAGGATAAATTTCAAAAGGAAATCACTGACATGACTTAAGTAATAGAAAGTCTAAAATCTCTAGGAATGGTTGTGTAATTAAATATTTGACTTTATTTTGCAACTCAACAGCCAACTGAATTAATTGGAAAGTATCCCGAAGCTGTTTGCATTGGTTAGACGTATACAATAAGTACTTTTATGAATATTCGTTGTTCCTATTTGTTATTACTGATAATTGTGGGCTTGGTCGTCTTACTATGTTGAGAATCATATAAAATATGCCTTCCTGTATTACTTTTCTTTCTAGACCATCAGAGGAGTTTCTGTATAGTATAAAACAATGGACCACACTTTACCTACTGCGTTAAAATTCATGTAGAATCAACAACTCACAAAGTATAAATTAGTTCTTCTTTTCATGCATACAACATTGAGGGAAGGCAGACTGATATTGCTGAAGGTTCAGGCGCTTATAACAGTTAAGTTTTTAGTCGTCCCAGGTTTCGTAATATGAGTGTCCGATATAATCTTTTCGCGGCGAGTGGTATATTTGCGCCACTGTATGTTAGAATCTAGACACAGAATCTAGTGCACTAGATCACCTTACATGACAAGCTGACAATATATCTTGTAGATATTGTAGTATTTGTAGGATCCAAACTACGGTTTGGATGTTGAAGAATAGCCGACCGGGGATTTTAGACACGCGCCCTTTCCCGTCGAAATCAGAACAAGTAATCGGGTAACTAGCGGTTCTATAATTCATAATAAATTTAATGTAAATCATTACCTAAACAAATATTATCACCCGGCTACTCAACCAATGATTGTTCAATCAATTAAATCTAAATTACAATAAATAAAGAAGTTGATAGAAGATGCAAGAAAATTACCAATCACCACAAATAAATGTTATTCTATCCTGTCTGGATAGATCACGCACAGATTCGTTCAAAAGGTAATAATTGGTCGCTCTATAACACAGTGTTTTCAATTCTGGAAGAGTGCTTCAATTCACAACCAAAATGCACAATTCCAGTCAACACAGGTCAAGCAATCAAAAGCAAGGATAAACCAAAATGGCTGCCGCCCAGACTTAGTATAAAGTAAAACAACATAAGTGCAGTTCGGGAAGAAACATGGGGAATTGGTGAAGGTGTAGTAAAAACGAAACTATAATAAAATACAAATATTAACAATTCAAATGTAGTCAAAAAGTTAACAATGTACAACTAAAAGAATCAATAGGAACAAAGTGTAAGTATATACATGGAGGGATTTTCACAAACACACGAGGCACTCAAAATGGATCTTACACCGGCCCCCAAAATCCCTCCATATCACACAAGCTACCTTGACGCCTACGGTCATGGTTCATCATATAACATATCACACCATAGGAACGAGTAGGACTTACAACAGTACACCTACTCGACCTAACTACATTAATAACAACAAAGACTAATCCAAAGCTTCAAGGAGACCTGCTTCAGCTGTTCTCTGGTGATCAACAATAACAGTCGTGATATAGACCTAATCACTCTTCCCCAAACTCCACCCATGCTGTTGGATGAGGGCCTCGCTGACAATTCAATGTTTATCTTCTGATTCGACTGCTGCACAAACTTGCTTAACTCAGAAACTGTCCCCACGAAGCTTGACGCACTGACACTGTAAATCTCTGGAGGTTTCCTTCTTCTTCCAATAAAACGTAATAGAGCCATTAAAAATGAAGCAGTAATCAAATACACATCATTTCAATATGTACTGCCCATGTTTGCAAACAAGTAAACACATATCCATACCCTTTTTCTAATGATCTTCCTATGTGTCCTTGTTCTTTATGACAATGTCTAACTATCATTTCCGTCACTAAGTGTCGACTGGGTAGAATTACTGGATGTTTAAAAGCATTTGGTAAATCTGAGTATCTTAGTCGACCTCCAACGCAGAGTAACCCATCAAGCATCATCAACGATAAACCTTTCAGATCGTCATGGCTTACTACTTTACTGCTGTTCTTAAATTCACTAAGTAATTCTCCATACACTTCTCTCTGAACCATCAATAAAATCTTACGCTTGACAATCTCAAGCTCTTTGACCTTTAAACATCCTAGATGAACGGATCCTTCACAACTCGGTAAACGAAGTACCATCAGGAATTCGATGAACCTTCTAAACCAGGTTACAGCTCTGACTAATTTCAACCACTCGGAATAATAAGAGAGAACAGGTGTCTTGTTGTACTTTATACTACTCAAGTTAACCACAGCAGTTTTTCTAAACTCAATATCGTCAAGAGTAGGTTCCGTACGGTCAGTGATTGTTATATAAAATTCGCCATGCAATAAAGTAGGACATTTGAACCAAGATTCAAGATCGGTCATTTTTTGTATACTTCCTCTACATAATAATTCACTTATATGCTTAACGAAACTCTTTGCTTGATCACAAGTGGGAATGGATATCAAGCAATCATCAACATAGAAATTATTCTTGACATCATCTACAACATAACCATCATAACCGTCAGAGAATATTTGGGCCGTCTTATTCAAGGCAAGGTTCGCACGAAAGGGCGATGATGTGGCACCAAATGCATGAGTTGTCATTTGAAACTCAGACGGTTCTCTCGACATGTCCCCCTCCTGCCACCACAGAAATCTTGAAGCTCCTCGATCAGACTCAGGGACATTCACTTGCATGAACATTTCTTCAACATCTGCAGGGATTGCAACTGCCTCCTTGCGAAAACCTAATAATATACACATTAACTCAGCGGTGGTATCGGGTTCTTGATAAATCATATCATTTCGGGGAATCCCTGCAATCTGGGCGGCACAATCAAGGACCACTCTAAAATCTGGTTTTTTCATGTTTAATACTGCACGATGAGGTAAATACCATCGAGGGCGATAATAAGACTGCAGATATATTTCAAAGACCCTCTCCGCATAAATCTTAGTAAAATCACTTTCAGTACTT